GTATTTATTATATGAGTCGCACCCTAGGGTTTTGCCTTTTTCTTTCCATAAATATAACTCACTCTTTTTCTTACTCATATCTATCTTCTAAATCCTCTTCTCTCTATTTAGTGCTATCGTTTCTCTCTTTATCACTTCAAAATGGCCCCTAAGGCGTGGATCATGACTCATCTGAAGGAGTTGGTGCGGTTTCCGGCGAATGGGTTCAGTGTAGGTCCCGTGGCGGAAGACATTTACGAATGGCAAGCAACGCTGTTGGGCCCCCCTAGTAGTCCATACGAAGGGGGCATCTTCTTCATCTCCATCCATTTCCCACCGGATTACCCCTTCAAGCCACCAATGGTGTTGTGGAAGATGTCGATTCTGCATCCCAACATCGACCAACCCCGCGTCTTCCATTCGCTACTCGTCACCGCTACGTGGAAGGTTGGAACGACGGTCAAGGAACTCCTCCAAGCGCTCCATGACATGCTGCTTCACCCTATGGTCGAGGAAGAGGACAACTACCTCGCAGACGTCGCACGCATGTGCATCTTGGAACCGGAGCGGTTCAAGAAGGAGGCCCGCCTGATGACCGAGCAACACGCCATGAATTAATTTCCATTAATTCATGGTGTTTTTCACAATAAAATAATGAATTTTATGTTTAAATATATTCCGCTGTAAAATATTTATTATTTAAAAATTATGACTATAATATATTTATTAACAAAAAAATTATTAGTAAAAATTATGGCTATAATATATAATATATATATATATATATATTCCTTGTGTTATTCTATCCACTATATTATCTCAGTCGATACATAAGGAATCCCTACTAAGGAAATCCTAATACTCGATATAATTGAAAATTTGTAATACTCGGTATCACTTGGTGTAACCACATATTTTTGGGATAATTGAAAATTTGTAATACTCGGTATCACTTGGTGTAACCACATGTTTTTGGGATAATTGAAAATTTGTAATACTTGGTATCACTTGGTGTAACCACATGTTTTTGGGATAACTAAAAATTTGTAATACTCGGTATCACTTGGTGTAACCACATGTTTTTGGGATAATTGAAAATTTGTTATACTCGGTATCACTTGGTGTAACCACATGTTTTTGGGATATTTGAGAATTTGTAATACTCGGTATTACTTGGTGTAACCACATGTTTTTGGGATATTTGAGAATTTGTAATACTCGGTATTACTTGGTGTAACCACATGTTTTTGGGATATTTGAGAATTTGTAATACTCGGTATTACTTGGTGTAACCACATGTTATCGGATAATCGAAAATACGTAATACTCGGTATTACTTGGTGTAACCACATGTTTTTGGGATAATTGAGAATTTGTAATACTCGGTATTATTTGGTGTAACCACATGTTATCGGATAATCGAAAATACGTAATACTCGGTATCATCATGTAATCCCAAAAATCAAAAATATGTATCACTTGGTGTAACCACATGTTTTTGGAAAATTGAGTAAGTCTTGAGTACAACCATGAATCGTAACTACTTGAACAGGTAAATAGTTAAAGAAACAGAGGCCACAGCAAGAACAGATAGAACAACCATGTCCTTAACTTCCTTAAATATCTTAGTTTTTCGCGTCTGTTCCAATTCCCTATCCATTTCCTTCAAAACCAAGTCACAAACCATCTCATAAAGGAGAGCATGAGACCTCCTTGCCTCAACCATTTCCTCCTTCAGGTTGTTTACCGATTCCTGTAGCTGGGAAATTTCCGTCGAGTGAATCCGGTTCATGGTTCTAGTCCAACCACTCCGGCCCTGCATCTCGGTCAAATCATGCCGAACATCTGCAATCTATTCTAGCATCGCCTCATCACACCACTTGAAGAGATGACATCCGGGATTCTACAAGACACAAACTGTATAAATAATTTTGGTACAAAATTAAAAGCAATCAACAGCTGAACTTACGTATTCCTTATTGCAAGCGAAGAATCTTCTTCCCGGATCTAAAACAGTGTGGGAAGTTTTGATGATTGGTTTACGATGACAATAACAGAATCGCGGGATTCGAAAAACTTCGTACAATTCGGGTTGAGGGCTCCCGCTTGAAATGTCCGAGTCGGACGACGAGCCGAGACTTGGCATTCTTGCAACAAAATATTGTTTTGCAAACAAGTGAGTATTTTGTGTTTTGGTTGTGATTTGTGCGTAAACCCAGATATTTTAATAATTTTTGATGTTTGGGGGGAAACTCAAATTTGGAAATGTCTGTTTTGGGGGGGAAACTCAAAATTGGAAATGTTTGAGGTTTTGGGGGCGGGGAAAACAAATTTGAGTTTCATGGATAAACCCGAGAAATAATAAATAATTGTAGTGGGGTCTATTTGTTACCCAATAAGACACATGTTCAAATGAAAACACATGTCTCGTTTATTGCAACTGGGAATTTTAAACGTAGTTGTGCTTTGTTTTCCAGTTATACACATCGTCCACATAGTGTTACTTTTGGTGGATATACCGTATTCGCAGTAATACTGAAATGTCATGAATATATTCCGGTAATACGTTTCATAATTGGTTATAACAGCAAATTATCAACTTGTTCATCAAACAAAATTCGAGGAAAAGTATGATACGTATTCTTTCCATCATTGATGGACTAAGCTTGACAATGTCACTATAGAAGGAGATTGCCTTAAGTGTCGGGCTGTGGTGAGATTCATATTATTTCTTCATTATTCTTAATAGTTTAAAACACTCTTTACTTGTCCTTGTTAGTGTTAGTATGAAAACGACCATTTTTAGAAATACTGATTCTTATCGTGGTCGTATTTTGCAATCTCCAAATTATGAAATCGGTTTAAATTGGTCTATTGGTGATTAAGGGTTGGTTAACTTCTTCAAAACGACGTCACCTGGAAACAGGTCTTATTTAATATTTTTTATTTAATAATATTCTACCTGACACATAGGCACGTGTTCAGCTAAAGAACACCTGTCGTAACTCACGTGTGGCTGACATAATTTATTTTATTATGGACACATGTCGTTTATTGCAACTGGGAATTTTAAACGTAGTTGTGCCTTGTTTTCCAGTTATACACATCGTCCACATAGTGTTACTTTTGGTGGATATACTGTATTCGCAATAATACTGAAATGTCATGAATATATGCCGGTAATACATTTCATAATTGGTTATAACAGCAAATTATCAACTTGTTCATCAAACAAAATTCGAGGAAAAGTATGATACATATTCTTTCCATCATTGATGGAATAAGCTTGACAATGTCACTATAGAAGGAGATTGCCTTAAGTGTCGGGTTATGGTGAGATTCGTATTATTTCTTCATTATTCTTAATAGTTTAAAACACTCTTTACTTGTCCCTGTTAGTGTTAGCATGAAAACGACCATTTTTTAAAATACTGATTCTTATCGTGGTCGTATTTTGCAATCTCCAAATTATGAAATCGGTTTAAATTGGCCTATTGGTGGTTAAGGGTTGGTTAACTTCTTCGAAACGACGTCACCTGGAAACGGGTCTCTTTTAATCTTATTTTCTATTATTATAATAATATTATATCTGACAAATGATCAATTTTCTCTTCTTCCGACGAACATTCCATCGTGTTTTTAACTTTTACACGACATTCTCTGACCTAAAAGTACTACTTTCACTTTTCTTTTTCACAACTTTTTCGCTTTTGCTTCTCCACCCCAGTTCACAATTATTTGTGGTCGACAGAACAACAAATGAGTATAACTAGAGCGTAGTTATACTCATCAACAAATGACAGAACAATAATTATTTGTTTAACGTCGTTGTACTAATAATTCTAGTTACTCATCATCCACGTAGTTTTTTCTTCTTTATCTCCCTTTTAATTTGTTTTTACAAGTTATACGAGTAATACTTAAATAAAACAAAAACAAAATTTCACTCTGATGGATCAAGTTGGCCACTCTTTCACGAAGCGATTTCTAAGTTCCCATTGGAATTGTCCGCCTCCATTGTCCAGTGGCAAGAATCGCACCAATCGGGGGGCACGTCTGCATATCCCATCATTATTATAACTGGGTGAATGTCTCCACTTCCACAATGCAAGTTATTTATTTTGTCCACCACCAATGTAATCCTCTCTCCAAACTGTGCTGGAGTGACATACGGGGGTCCTCTAGGGCTTGCTCTTTGAATTCGTAACCGCATTTCTTCTGATTCCGCCCGTGTAAAATCTTGGGCAGATGTTAAGCTCACGTCGCATCCAGACATGACGAGGACAAGCATTTGGTGGCAATATTTTGCCAACGAGAATCCCGCTTCCGATGACGCCTTAAGCATTGCCATCCCTGCCTCTATATCATGGTCATAGAAAAAAATTGAAAGACCTCTTTCAAATAGAGCCGTAGGATTACCTTCTGCCAAACATCTGTCCTTGAACATTCTCATCCATGCCATATCAAAGAACCAAGGTGTGGGCACGCTTAGCAAATCCACGGTTCGAAGGAAGATTGGATCCTTGGAGATCTGGTATAAATCCCTACTTGCCACTAAAGCCCTACAGTAATCGCGAGTGCTAGAACTGACTACCTTCTTTAGTATTTCAATTTCATCTCTATGGGCAAATCAGAAAATCCGCTTTGCCTAGCCATTGTATATGAATGAGATTGTGTTTCAGAAACACTTTGGGTCCACGTTAAATAACAATCCGCTTTATCACGTTCGGGGGAAACGATACGTCGTTTGAAGATATTGACCGCATTAACTCAAACCAGACGTCGTTTGAAGATATTGACCGCATCAAGTATTTTCGAGTAATACAACCACAACATAAATCCTAAATCCAAATATGAATATGGTTGTACTAATTATTTCCGAGTAATACAATTACAACATAAAACCTAAATCCAAAGATGGTTGTACTAAGTATTTCCGAGTAATACAATCCCAACATATCTCTCCATTATCCAAACTAAACCACGTTATCACCTGAGACACCTCCTCCAGCATTTTCACATCAAGTATTTTCACCTCCAGCGTTTTCACTTCCAGCGTTTTCACCTCCAGTAATATAGCTATAAATTTTGTATCGTCTTCGTCCTCTTCGACTTCGGTCGACGCTCTCCAACAGATGGACGCCTTTTCTGCTGTTTTGCCCACCTTTTTGGCTCGTAAACCGGGGGTGCAAAGCGCTCAATTGCTTAACATCATCGGGGACAACCCATTGTGACTTATGTGGAACAGGATAGATGGTTCTGTTATAAGCAAAAGCCCACTGCTCGGTTAAATAATACATCGAACACAAGTCCTCCACGTTTATATCCACTTCTCTGTCTGGCCGCTTCATGTAAGCTTCTAATGCGGCTAATGCATGGACACATGGATACTTGTCTATATCAAAAAGCTTGCACGAACAAGTTTTATTTTTCAAGCTCACAGTGTAATTAATCCCATCTAATCCAAGAATGCTGTATTCAATCTAAATCATGTTTAACTCGGTGACACCTAGCTTCTTAGATTCAGCACATCTACTGTGAAAAATATTTTCCACAAAGGCAACCAGTTTGCGTCCTGGTGGCGTTGAAGCAGCCTCGTTCCTATGCTTGTTAAACCATTCACACAACTTGTCAACAATCGCATCTATCATAGGTAATAATGGCAGCTTCCTTGCATCTTTAAACACACTATTCAAAGACTGTACAACGTTACTAGTATCTAGATTGTACCTCTCTGCTGGAAAATAGCACTTGGCCCATTTTGATACTTCTACACGCCTTTCTAGATAATCTGTCACAGCAGGATACTTTAATGCCATCCTCGAATAATGATCGAGAAACTCGGCCTCTGTATACTGCCTTGCGCACTCCATGAATCGGGGTCGTATCCCTTACCAGTGCTCTTGAACTTGCATTTTCACATTCTGTGAAAGATGCCAGGTGCAATACCCATGTTTAGCTTCCGTGTACACCTCAGCTACTGCGTTAATGAGGCCTAAATTTCTATCCGACACAATAACCAACTCAAGATTATCGGGTATAACCGTTTTTAACAGCCTGAAATACCACTCCCAACTGTCATTTTTTTCTGAATCAATAACTCCAAAAGCAATCGGATAATAGTGACGACTACCATCCTGACAAGCAGCTAAGACTAGCTGACAAGCAGCTAAGACTAGCTGACAACCCATTCCGGCTTTCAAAAAGTTGCATCAACAACTACCACTTTTCTCATAGCTACAAACCCCTCAACGCAAGCTTCCAAAGCGACAAATAAGTACTTGAATCTTCCTTGTTCGTCCAGTAACACCTTGTGTTTTGTTCCTGGATTCACCTTCTGTAGCATGTACAAATACGAGTACAGATCTCTATAGCTGTCTGCAGGATAACCACGAACCAGAGATTTAGCTTGCTGTACTCCTCTCCATGCGGTGGAGTATGACACACTCACGGAAGCGTTTTGTTTAACCAAAAGCATGACAGTGTGAGGAGTTGATGTATCTAATCGCCCTGGATACAACTCCTTAACAACAGTTGCAACTAATCCTGGTGTTCCTTTCCTTTGTTTGCTGTTTGTACTCGCACTGGCCCGAGAACAAGTATGCATCTTTCGGTATACTGTTATAGAAAAACAGAGTGTTTTCGCATCCTTCCAAGCTCGTAAATACCAATTACAACCTGTTTCACTGCATTTCACGACATATCGTCTCTTATCTGAATTCTTTATAGTCAGACCAAAACAATATTGATGTGAAGCTCTATACACTAAATCTATCAAATCTTGTTTACATGCAAATTGTTGCCCCACTCTCAGATTCATACCATCTTCCCATTCAAAATGTTGTGTTTCTACAACTTCAGGAGGGGGACCATAATCAAAATCCTATGTATTCCTCCTCTTCGTTATCAAACTTGGCTTTAGCATCATCATCTACTACATCAGCATTTTCACGGGAAACATCATCACCATCTTTTCCATTGTCACGTGTAACATCATCACCATCTTCTCCATCACGTGTAACATCATCACCATCTTTTCCCTCATCACCGTCAGCTTCCTCTATCAATGGGATATTCTCATGATGTTGTTGTCCTGCTGAACAGTTGCCTGTGTAAATAGCAAGTACACCATTATTTGATCCACCATTACCTAAACGCAACCCCCCATAATTTATACCAACTGAACTTACCCTCTCAACTCTGGAAAATCCCTCTCCAACTTCAACACCTTTGATGACCTCTACATTAATAATACTTCTGCGTCCCTCTTTATCCAGTGAGGTCAGGAACACGGCTAGGTCGTCATCATTCGAAATATAAAACTGTTTCTGAGTTTGCGATAGTACCGGAATGTAACTCAGTATCAACTTACTCGAAGATTCAACAATCCTAACCTTCGTGCATATCTTTTCCACTAAATCAGAATAAGTAATCTCCTCCAAACTTGAAGACTTAAACATTATACCATACATGGACGCTGGGGCTGAAATCCATTTATCCTCCGAAGTTGAATAATATCCCCCGTAATCAAAAAATAGGTTCGTTATCATTATCACCTGAAAAAATAACACATAGACCATACTCAACCGCATAAGAAATGTTTCCAATTGTTTCCAGAAATACACAGGTAATACCAATTGTTACTCTATCTCTCTCATTTAATTAGATCTAATTGTTAACTCGTGGAGAAACTCTAATCTAATACATACCCAGTCGATTAGCAACCAATTACAGCATCTAAAACCTCAATCCAATACATACCCAGTCGATTAACAACCAATTAAAATTTCCATATTATACCATTGCCTATTAAATAATCGAATTTAATCCCAATCGTGGTTCTACGACAATGACTTTCCAATAACGAAATGAAAAAGAATATCCAACGAAATGTCAATTACCTCGATTAAGCTTCAATGAGGGATGAGTGCAACAAAATGTCAAGAGGGATTCGAGTTCTGAGAATTCGTTCTCTAGCGATCGCTGGGGTGAAGCGAGCGAGCTGGTCAAAAATGGTTTTTCTTTCAACCCGGTCCCCGACAAGAAGACAAAACCTGTTCTGATTGGCTAAATTTTTGGCGCCTAAAAAATGTCGACACGCTCCTGATTGGTTAAAATTTGCGAAGCTCGCTTCTGATTGGCTACTCATGTTTATATCTCATTGGACGAACGCTCTTGATTGATTTATCTCTGCTTATTTATGATTGACCGATTTTTTAATTTTCTCTTATAATTTATTTCTGCCAAAATTACAAGGACAAATTGAAGATTAATTTCCAAGCTCATTAAAAGATAAGGGACCCGCGAAGAAGACACTAGAATATAAGATGAGATGAGAGAATAAATAATTTCTAAATCTTAGAAGAGTGTTACAAGTTATCTCTCCTTTGATTTACATCAATCTCGTAAGTGGACAACCAAGTTTATATTCTACATAAGATTTTTTCCTGACGAATAATGTAAGAAATTACATATATTTCTATAATGAGAACTGTAGCAACCTTATTTTATATAGTACACTAATATTTTCTTGCGATTTAATGAATTTACTTTAGAAATGCAAATAATATTTTCATAACGTACTGACTTTATTATATTACTGGTAACAATGTAACCAACGTAGCGTACGATTTCCAAGTGTAGCTTGGGACGTTTCAAATGTATGCATATCTCGCAGTAGCATCTGCACAAGTGTTGGTTTGTCTTCCTCGAGACCTGACACATGGACGTAGCCTTCTTCTTGGTTTCTTCAAGATCTGTTCTGTGTTTGTAGTTGTTGGGCCGAAATTTTAAGCCCATTAAGGGTGAAGAGAAAATGGTGAAGAGAGGAAATAGGATTTGTCCCACATCGATTATAGTGTGAAAGGTTCTAATATATATTAAGAACTGTTTCATACATGTTTTAATAACATGTGAGAGAAAAGAGGAAGCTCTACGCGCGCACCGCCGCCGCTGCCAAGCCAAACGCTGGTCGTGTTGGTCGAATGGACCTTCTGGTCAATGTTTTGGGGTTGACTTTCTGTATTATGTTTTTGATTCAGTCAAAAGAATATTGGATATTCATTATCCCTACAAAACCGTAACTGATTATGATTAATCACAGATTGCTGATTTTTTACCTTTGACTACGCTAAATTTATGGCCGTGATTCGTGTTGACTTGCGGATTTTTGGGATTTTTGGAGACTGCTCAAGTCTTTTGCTCTGCTATATATACACGACCTCTTCTCTCATTTTTCACATTTTCACACCTCTCAATTTTCTTCTCAGAAATTTTCGCAACAGTCTCTCTCCTTCTATTTCTTTATTTTTCGTAAGTCATTTTCCGAGAGTAGAGTAGAATTAGTTCGTTTAGATCTGTGTTTCTTAGTGCTGTTGAAAATGGATAAGTTTGGTTGTATCCTGCGACTCTTGGATCACAGAAACCCGTCGCATTATGGACAATTCAAAGAGCTAAGGAAAGAGATCATAGTCTCGCCTCCACTCATTTCTCTTTTCCTTAATGTTTATTTTCTAAAACTCGTATTTATTGCTATTTCGTAGTGTTCAATATTTTTGGTCCTACACTCTTAAATCTTTGAATCTGTTCTTGTTCTATAAAGATTGAACGGATTGGATATGAGTATTTTTTTTAAACGTTTTTTTATTGCTCTCCATCTCTAATCGTAATACACCTGTGATCGAACTCTCATTGGAGGTTTAAAATAAAAAACACATGGTTGTGGTGCTTATCGATCTTACATGATAGCGATTTCAGATGGATATAATATTTATAATATTAAAATTTTTTATTTTAAAATTCTGAAAATTGTGATTAGTATACATATTATATTTAAAATTTTGTATGCTTCTCTTAGGAAAAATTATATTT